AGATGTAGTGGCTGTTGTTTTTAGCTGTTAGTAAGTCATCAGTGAGTTTTAGGAGGGCGGTTACAGTGGAGTATACGGTCCAAAAGGTTGTTATTAGCGAGGTGGCGACTCAGACGGTTGTAGATAAGGCGTTCTAGTAGTTTGGAGGTAAATGGGGGTAAGGAGATTGATCTGAAATTATTGAGGTTGGTAGGGTCCAGTGAGGGTTGTTTGGGGATTGAGGTGACCAGCGCATGTTTTAGAGGGGAGGGAAAGATTCCAGTAGAGGGTGAAAGATTGAAAATGCGAGTAAGAGAGTCTAGGATAGAGCAAGAGGGTGATTGTAGTAGTGGTGGAAGTAGTGGTGAGGGAACAGGGTCTAGGGGGCAAGTGGTGAGGTGGGTGTCAGAGAGGAGCTTTGTAACCTCCTCTGTGGTGACCGGGTCAAAAGAGGAGAGTAACAACCGTGATGGTGGGTCTGGTACATTAATAGGGGAAGATGACTGGACAGTGGCGCTCTGATCCCGAGTTGTAACAAATGTGCATAGACATTGCTCACGTTGATAGGCCTACACATTTGGGCCTGGGATTACGTGGGTAATGCACAGATTCATTAGCATAATTAGGTATTTAATCAAGGAATCAGAGTTTCATCAAGAAAAGTTCCTGAGTGGTCATCAGTTTCTGCTTTCTGTGCACTTCTCCTGTGATTTGACCCGCCTTGTTTTGACTCTGCAACATATCGATCCCATGGCTTCTGACTCCAGCTTTGTATCTTGACTACGCCTGCTGGTTGTTTTTTTGTACCTTCTCTGCCCAGCTGTGCTTGGCCTTGGCTTGCTAGTAGATGAATGTCACCAGCACACCAAGAGTAATGAAGTCCAAAGTGATCGTTTATTTAAACGTCATGTCATCAGAACTTGTTCTGACGATGTGACGTTTTAAATAAACGATCACTTTGGACTTCATTACTCTTGGTGTGCTGGTGACATTAATCTTCTATCATTGTCTGGCGATGCCATCCGCAGTCATTACAAGCACTCCCCCTCACTGAACTCTACGTTTGACCTTGGCTTGCTTCACTACTTTGTTCCTGGCTTACTCCCTGTGTACCTACGTGGCCTGGCTGTGCTTGGCCTTCAGCTTACCTCTGACCCTGCTTCATCTATGCCAGCTACAGGCACTCATGCCTCTCCAAGCTCCTGCTTACCCTGTCTCAACTCCAGAGGAATTGCTGGACAGGAGGTGCAAGGGATGCCGCCATCAGGTATGTGGTACCCACTCTCCAATTCATGTTCTGAAGACCACCCAAAATTTGGGGTTTTCTTTCACTTTCAGTAACACATACAGGGGATCTAATTCCTCTCCACCCTATCCAAAACTAAAAACAAGTTTTGGTTTCAGTTGCACTTTTAAAATATCACCAATTATTATTATTATATATTAGATTTTAGTTTCCGAGTCCACCTTAGTTTTACCTGAATAATCACTAAAATAAATCACAGTTTCTCTTTAAACTTGATGCCTGCAGCAAACAAGATGACCGGCATACAACCCCGGGAGATGTAATGGTGCCTTATGACAACATCCATGTCATAGATACCTAGTCAAATCTGTTCACATCTTCTCTATTTGAATGACGATCCATCAGGGCGATGTTTCACTTTACCATTTGCATCTTATATTTAGTTTAGCAATCTTCACTTGATAAAAATTGGATATTTCTGTCATTTTGATAAAAGACAGGAAAGAAAAGCGATAGGAGACATGGCCAATTCTACAGAAGAAGAATGCGTTTTTCCCTACACAGTACAATCTTGGTTTTCCCTTGCCACGACTGGAATGGTCTTGTTGGTCGGACTATCACTGCAAGCATTTATTGTGGCTGTGCATGTCATTGACTGGCTGAAAGGAAGGTCAATGACGGCCGTCGACCAAATCATCACCTCTCTCGGGATAATAAGAATCATCCTTCTTGTGTCCACCCCATTACACTTCCTTTCGTATAATTGCTCTGCAGGGTTGGGTGCAACATTTTTGCTGTTGAATTTATTCACCGGGATAACGTCGGGTTTCTCCAGCGTCTGGTTATCGGCTCTCCTCTCCGCCCTCTTCTGCTTCAGTATCACCACTTTTAACAACGTCTTCTTCTTGCATCTGAAGACCATCATATCTCAGAGAGTCCTTTGTCTTATTATTGCTTCCGTGCTCTTGGGATCCGGGTACGCTTTTACGTTGCTTTTGTGAATATCATATGCAATAAACAAGAACTTGTCTTACTCTGAAATTATAAACGACAACCTTCATTTCCAGGTCGTATTCTCCACTAATTCCTGGTGGAATATTTTTCCAGTTCTGATGTTCTTTGCATCTACGGTCCTCCTTGTTCTTTCCCTGGGCTTCCACATTAGACAGATGAAGAATCATGGAAACGTTATGAGCAGCACAGGCACCTACCATAAGATGATCATGTTTTCAGCTCTGTCTTTCCTGACCTGTGTGCTAAATTGTGTAGTGAATATAACTGAACGATATGGTATCAAATTATTTGGCGTTTTGTGGATGTACGCTTTGTGGAACTTTTTTCCGGTTCTACATTCGGTTTCCTTAATTTATGCAACTACCAAGCTAAGGAATGAATTCTTCAGGATCCTGCGTTGGGTAACGGGCTGCTTGCTTTGGAACAAAGCATCTGAACCGGACTCGAGAGATCAAATTGAGGTGACCCGTTTGTGACTTAAAAAAAAAGAGGCATTTGCTCATTGTGTCCCGTCTGGTGGGAATGTGGTAAAATATTTGTTCTGGTCTTAGGCTTTCAAATTCACATCCTTGGTTACTTGTGTGCCAACTACTCCAGACCCTGCCCTAGCATTCATAGGAGGTGGAATCACCTTCTGGCTGCACAGGACCTGAACATTCTTAACACATGTTCTCATAGCGGATAGACCAAGGGTAACCCAACTCTGGCCCTCCAGCTGGGGTGGAACTACAAATCCCATGAGGCATTGCAAGATTCTCACAGCCACAGACATGATTCCCGGAGAGGGGTGCATCATGGGATTTGTAGTTTCACTAAAGCTGGAGGGATGGAGTTTGGCTACCCCTGGGCTTTATTATACATTACTCGGGTATGGAAGAATGCTGAATCTCCCTTGTTAACTTCAGTGATTCCCACACTCAACACCCCCTTTCTTTCTTTTTCAAAGGCAAACTGTGGTTGGGATAAAGTCAACTCTAACTGGTCTTGTTGGCTCGCAGACAACCATTGCACTATTCAGGCTTAATAAGTTGACTACATTATCTCTGACTCTTGCTTTTCATCTATACATAGATAATCAATGTTCCCAGGTGTACCATATTGACATGAGATATATTGCTTAGAGTGAAATTCTCTGTCTACGAAAAGACTGTCTCAGCACCAAAAAAACAAACTTTTAGACCGTCTCCTGCAGGATCTTAAAGGAGAACTATGGGGTCAGGGCTTTTCTACGGGGGAGGGGGTGGGTACAGCTGGCTCTGCCTCTGGATAGGCAGAGCCAGCTGTCAATCCCACAGCTGGGTGGATCCAGACAGTATTGTCGGGATCCGTTCCAGCTGCGGCGTCTCAGTATACCGCAAGCTGCAGCTCACGGTATAGAGAGCTGGTGACAAATTGATGAGTGCGTTTGACATTTGTTTTCCAAAGCTCAGTATATCGCGAGTTACAGCTCGCGAGATACTGAGACCGCCGCAGCCGGGACGGATCCTGACAACACTGTAAAGATCCACCCTGCTGTGTGAGTGACAGCTGGCTCTGTCTAAAGGCAGAGCCAGCTGTGGCCGCCCCCTTCCCTGGCCGTTCCTCCAGTCAGCGCTGATCAGTATCCTACAATCCCAAACCCTCCCTCCTAGTCGATACTTTACAATAAATGCTAAAAAGACCCCATGACTTGAGCCTGTTCTGTCCTGGAGTGCCGGTGTTGCTGGAGCTGAGAAAGGGTCCGGTGGCTGGCAAAAACAGGTAGGAGAACCCGAGTTCATATTTAGCGGCTCCATCGGGGGTGAGCGCTACAGTCTCTTTAAAGAGAACCTGTCACCAGTAAAATGTTATCACATAGTGTGTTTGTGAACCCCTATGTGATAACAATTAAAGTTCAGTAAAGAAAAATTATGCTTACAAAATAAAATAAAAGTAAAACCACCCTCAAAAAATTTAAACTTCCCTGTCCCTCGTACACACACATTCTAACACAAACATGCATCAGGTACGCCAAAGTACAAAAAATGATTATTGCGCCACACATGTTAGGTATCACTGCATATGCAGGCGTAACAGAAATAGGGATTGGGGGAAAAATACTTTTTTTTTTTGTCTAATGTCACTTTGCTGCAACGAAAATCCATCCAGACATCCAGTTCAAACTACCGCTAACGAATTTCGTCCGAATCTCCAAATGAATTAACTTTCGGACCCGAATCCCGAAAAACAAAATAACGGAAAATCCAAATAAAATCGAAACAAAACTAATTTTTTTGCCGGTGCACATGTCTAGCTCTCAGTCCTGTGCGGTCATAAGGTGGGGCAAGACTACCTGTTTGTAGGACTACAAGGGACAGATCAGCAGCAAAGCCGACAGATAGGCTCATCTCTCTATCACTCTGATCCCTTTGACTATCAGCATGTTCCTTGTCAGTCCATGAAATGAGTGACTCCCTCTTCTCCTCTTGCTCGCTCGCCCGCCTGACGACATTAGACAGACAGGCTGTGCGGGCCACATTACAAGGTCCGGCGGGCCGGATTCGGCCCGCGGGCCTTGTGTTTGCCACCCCTGCCCTAGACGATACAGCTATCTGGTATCTAAAAGCATGGACAGTGTCACATTTACTCTCATCTCCTTCATTTGTGTAAAGATCGACACAGACAATGTATTTACATTATATTTGCATTTGAAATTCAAATCAGTCCATTTCTATCAGTAAATATAGTGTATTTGTATCATTTGATATGACAGAGAGACGGCTCATGTACATTGATGACAAAGATGGCAAATTCTACAGAGGAAGGCTATGATCTGATAGATTTAACACAATATCTGATTCCATTTGGCTGTTTTGTAACATTCTCATTGGCAGGTCTGCTGATACAATCATTTATTGTGGTTGTTAATGTCATTGACTGGATGAAGGGAAGATCAATAACAGGTGCTGACCAAATCATCACCTCTATTGGGATATCACGGATCTTCCTTCACACCACTTACCTGATGTATATAGTTTTATTGTTTTATTTTTCAAGGCTCCCTAAACTAATTAATATCTTGAATGATTTAACTGCAAGGACATCAGCTTTTGCCGATATCTGGTTATCCACCCTGCTCTCCATCTTCTTCTACTTCAAGATCTCCACCTTTCACAACATCCTCTTTTTACGTCTGAAGGCCTTCATATCCAGAAGAGTCGTCCACCTGATCATTGCCTCTGTGCTGATGTCTGTAGTATACTCATCCATGTATTATGTTGCTGTATCTATGACGTATTCTACGATTTCAACACAAAACGCCACTTTATCCTACAGACAGGAAGAGATAATATCACATGTTTATACAGTGTGGACTGTTCTCCCTCTTCTAATGACCTTTGTAGCTTCGCTCCTTCTCATTATTTTGCTCGGTTTTCACCTGAGAAGGATGAAGATTCGTGGGAATGTGACGAGCAGTACAGACGCCTACCTTAGGACCATGAAGTATACAGTTGTCTCTTTCCTGGGCTGGGCCTTTTATATGTTAGGAAATGTATCTCCAATAAACATGGGATTTTTGTTCTCTCTATGGTGGTTTGTTCTAATGACCATTTTTCCAGTCCTACATTCCGTTTTGCTAATTTATGTGTCAACCAAACTAAGAAACCATTTCCTCAGGATTGTCCGATGTGGAACTATTTGTCTGCGCCGCAACAGAAACCCTCCTGGACCTCGCTCTGGAGAGTCGGTGGAGGTGACCCGTTTGTGATGGAAGAAAAAGATGTACAATTCTTTTATTTTAAGCAAGCACAAGAAATATTTTATTGTTTGTGCATTCATTAGAATGTAAAGCTGTTTTTTATACAGTTCTGAAAATAGTTCCAATAATGACGTGCATACTTCTGAAATACATACTGCATCTAATATATATATATATATACCTTGTACATATACAGTTTATATATACAGGGCTCAAAATTTCCACTCGCCTGCTCACATTTGGCGAGTAGAAATAAAGTGAGGGCGAGTGGAAATTTGGGTCTCCAAGTACCGGTCCGCAGGCCAACTCCGGCCCGCGATCCAGTACCATGTGGCCCGCAGCCAGCTGACATGTCAGGCACACGGTCGCAGACCGCATACCTGACTTGCGGGAGCAGCTCCATGGTCTGCATCTGTGTCGAATGTCAGCTCCGGCTTCCTTCGTTCTGAGACAGTTCTGAGCTCCGGCCAAAAGAAAGGATGGATCGAATGGGGGGAGTGTATTATTTTTTGTGTGCGGGGGGAATGTTATTATTATATTTGTGCAGGGGGGGTCTAACGATGAGAAGTGTATTATTGTGTTTTAAGCTGCCCATTCACCTTACAACCATCGCACGACTTTGGTTATGCAATGGATGTAAGGTCATTAAAATCTCGTACGATCTGCCCATCTTGGACAGGCAGATCGTACTTGCGAACATCGCAAGCCCTCCCCGCTGAGGGGAGGGCTTCCGATTATTGCAGTGTTGAGCGGGCAGTGTGCGCTTGCGCACACCGGCCCGTGCAGCATTCGTCTTCTGTCCACGCCGCCAACCCGCCAAAAATCGTATGATTTTCGGCAGGTTTTCCAGCGTGCTTGGAAGACGAAAGTCGTACGACCTTACAGTAGAAGCGGTCGCATGCTGTCCATACACCTGCCGATTATCGTACGATCGTGGGATCACCCACAGCTATCGTACGATAATCAGCAGGTGTATGGACACCTTTAGTGTATGTGTATATTGGGCACCATTCACACCTACAGTATATTTCAAGTGTCATTAGAGATTCCTGTGTCAGGAACTTGCGTTTTCCTGCAGCAGGAATCCCTTATCTGCCGTTTGCAAGCGGCAACTATCATAAGATAAGAATTATCATAAGATTATTTAAGAGGGTGTGTTTAGGGGCGGAGTTAAGGCCGGGGCAGGGAAAGCCTTAGGTGGGGCAACTGGTGGCTAGTAACTCTTAAGGCCTGGCTAGTAGCTCATGACTTGAAATTTTGAGCCCTGTATATATATATATATATATATTGTGACAGGACAGTGCAATGTCACTATGGTGATTGATGTGTTTGGCGCCCAGGACTCTCGGCCAGAGGAACTGAGAGGGTCCAGAAAACATTTAGTGTTACAGGGAAGGAGCTGGGTTTCCAGTTCTTTCCAGGTTTTCTGGAGTATAACTGGGATCAGGGTCTCTGGAGATTTCTAAAGGTGCCCATACACTGCACGATTATCGTACGATTATCAATCACAGCACAGCACAGCACAGCTCTCCCCTCTCACTGTCTACACGGAGCGGCAGGGTTACTATGCTCCCTGCAGTCAGAGACTCGGCGGCGGAGAACGGAACCAGAGGAGAGAGGTAAGTGCAGGGGGGAGGGGAGGAGGCTGCACACTGTTTACATGTAAACGAGAAATTGGCTTCCTCACTCTACATTTAGCCCCGCCTGTGCAAAGCAGGACTGAATGTAGAGAGGGCAACTTCCCCACAAGGACACCGCTGCCGCCCCTCTGCGCCCTGCCGCCCCGAGGCCGGGCCTCGGTGGCCTTGTGAGGAATCCGGGCCTGACGATATTCTCGGGAAATCACACGATCGTACGGTAATCGGCAAGTGTAGGAAAGACGTGCAACCGTTTCTACTGTACGGTCGCACGTCTTTTGTCTCGCCAGCAGGCTTGAAAACCCGCTGAGAATCGTACGATTGTCGGCGGGTTAGTGGCGTTCTTGGGAGGCAAATGCCTCCGATCTGTGACAGTCTCATTATCACAGGTCGGCTAGAACTATGAAGTGAGTGAAAAGCACCCCCCTCATAGTCCTCCTTTAAAGCGCTCACCATATGTGCTAGATTCCCCTAATATCACAATATATATATATATAGTGCATTCAGAAAGTATTCAGACCCCCTTCACTTTTTTAAATTTTGTTATGTTGCAGCCTGGCACTACAGTTTTATTAAATTAATTTTAAATTCTTTTTTCCTCTCATTAATCTACACTCAGTACCCCATATTGACAAAGTGAAAACAGAATTTTGGTAATGTCTGTGAATTTATGAATAAGAAAAAAACTTAAATATCACATTGGCGTAAGTATTCAGACCCTTTGCAATGACACTTGAAATTCCGCTCAGGTGCCTCCCATTTCTCTTGATGGTTGCTGAGATGTTTCCACACCTTGATTGCAGTCTGCCTGGGGTACATGACATTGATTGGACATGATTTGGGAAGGTGCACACCTCTCTATAGAAGGCCTCACAGCTGACAAAGCGTACTGTATCAGAGCAAAAGCCATGAGGTCAAAGGAACTGCCTGCAAAGCTGAGAGATAGGATTATTGCAAGGCACAGGTCTGGGGAAGATTACACATACATTTCTGGTGCACTGAAGGTTCCCAAGAGCACAGTGGCCTCCATAATTCTCAAATGGAAGAAGTTTGGCACAACCAGGACTCTTCCAAGAGCCGGTCGCCCGGCCAAACTGGGGAGAAGGGCCTTAGTAAGAGAGGTGACCAAGAACCTGATGGCCACTCTGAGCGAACTCCAGAGATCCTGTGTGGTGATGGGACGAAGTTCAAGAAGGACAACTATCGCTGCGGCCCAATTCTAAATGTTATGTCTGGAGTAAACCAGGCACTGCTTATCACCTGCCCAATACCATCCAAAAAGTGAATCATGGTGGTGGCAGCATCATGCTGAGGAGGTGTTTTTCAGCAGCAGCAGGGACTGGGAGACTGGTCAGGGTTGAGGGAAAGCTGAATGGAGCAAAATACAGAGATATCTTCAATGAAAACCTGTTCCACAGTGCTCAAGACCTCAGACCGGGTTGAAGGTTCACCTTCCAACATGACAACGATCCTAAGCACACAGCCAAAACAACGCAGGAGGGGCTTAGGGACAACTCTGGGAATGTCCTAGAGTGACCTAGCCAGAACCCTGACTTGAACCCTATTGAACATCTCTGGAGAAACCTGGAAATGGCTCTTCACTGACGGTCCCCATCCAACCTGACTGAGCAAAGAAGAATGGCAGAAAATCCCCCAATAAAGGTGCGCAAAGCTTGTCGCCTCATACCAAAATAGACTCGAGGCCATAATTGCTGCCAAAGGTGCTTCAACAAAGTACTGAGTAAAGGGTCTGAATACTAAAGTACATGTGATATATTTAAGGGTTTAAAAAATAAATAAATTCACAGACATTTCCAAAATTCTGTTTTCGCGTTGTCGTTATGGGGTACTGACCAATTTTGGATTGACTGCTCTTGAAACCTAATCCCAACAGAGGTGCTATATCCAGTGCTAATAGATGTTATAGACTAGATTTGGATTACGCGAAAGGATCTACCGATCTCTTTAAGTGGAATACTTGTTATTTGAATGTATCCATTACTGAGATTCACTGCATCCACTTACAAAGAAATGGTATTAAGAGTTTATCATGGAGCTTATATCTCCCCACCTAACTCTTATCATATGGGTCTTAGTAGCTCCTCTAGATGTCTGAAATGCGGGCAGGAAACAGCAGATTTATATCATGCTTTTTAGAGCTGCCCCAAGACATCTAGGATGATATTGCCCGGTATGCTGGCCATAATTTGGTGAATTATCTACTTTTATCTGCAGCTTGGGCAATTTTTGGTATCTTAGATTTGGATGGAGTTAAAGTCACCCCTGGATGTAGAAAGTTATTGTCTACCATATCCTTGGTGGGAAAGAAAATGACTTTGCATCAATGGATACATCCTGAACCACCTTCATCAACTCTTTTTGTGAGCAAGTTGATATTTGTATTTCAAAATGATTACACCGAGAGAATGCTTAACAAGGATACACAAACTCCAAAAATTTTAAAGTATGGGAATATTTTATTGACTCCTTACCAACCTACAAACCAAAAACCTATGCAATCTTTCATCTTGACTCCATGGTATATTAGGAGGATGATCTCCAATGACCGCCCTGATAATAATAGCCGAATAGGAGAGGGGCCTCATCCCTCTTCTCTTTATGGAGGTCGGTCACTGCAATTGTATTTACATACCATTAGTGTATAGTTCCGGATGTGAACAATCTTTGCATTTCATCTCTCTTCTATTGGAGGAATCTAAGTTAGCATTTATGCACAATAACTATAAATACCAACTGTGGCATCAGGCAGATAGGGATGTCTGGGTATAGCCAGGATGGCAGATTTGTAGGGCCAAGTTATAGGTGTAGTGCTGAGGTTCTTACTCTAGGGGGAAGTGTTGAGAGTGCTGGAGGCCTAGAGTTTACCAGCCCAGCTGAAGGAAGTTGGCTCACTATGACCTCCATAAAGGTGGCCATACACTTTACAACCATCGCAAGACCTTAGCCCTCGTTCACGCCTGAACGTTTTGTAGCGCGTTCTACGCTCGACGAACGCTCTACAAAACGCTCAAAAATATAAATCACATTGGAGTCAATGGGCTCGTTCCCACCTTGGCGTATTTCCGCCCGTCCCTAACGCGCTAAAAAACGGCCCACGCCTGAAAAGGTACAGGTACTACTTTGGGCCGATTTGTTGCGCGTTTCCATTGGGATACAGCCAAGTAGCCTTCGGAAACACGCGTGTGTCGCGCAAATTTTTTACCGCAAATCGCGGTAACAAAAACGCGCGACAGACGTGCATATGCAATACGCCTAGGTGTGAACGAGACCTTAGGTCTTGCAATGGTTGTAAAGTAATTAAAAAAACGTATGATCTGCCCATCTTGGACAGGCAGATCGTACTTGCGATCA